CCTCCTCCTCCTCCTCCTCCTCCTCCTCCTCCCTGTGTAGAGTAGTTGCTGGCTCTCGGTGGTGGCTTGTACACCGCCGCCCTGCCACGGGGCCGAGGGACAACGCAGCGGAGGGCGTCCGTGTACATGTCTTCGTGGCGGACGAGCGGCGGCTGCAGCGCGCCTCGAGCCAGGAAGGCCCGGCGCGCAACGGCACACGAGCGACGCGGGTGCGGAAAGAGGGGGCACGAGGCCCGACGGCAGTTCCTCTCCCGCTCTGCACTGACTACCTACCAGACCACCCCAACCCAACCCGAAGATCCGAATTTCGGGTTGGGGGGGGTAAGGGTTCCACATGTGATTTTTCGATGTTTCCCGACCCCCCCCCACTGGAAATCGAGGGTAAATCTGAGCCTTCGGGTTGGGTTGGGGTGGTTTGGTGGGTGGTGATGCACGGAGCCCGCGGTCCGCGCCGCCGCGGACGGGGCCCAGTGGAGGCAGGAGGCCACCTGCCCAACAGCGGCCGCTGCCGGTTCTGGACAACATTTGCTGTTGGGCATCGTGCCCCTTTTTCCGCACCCCTTTCGGGCGTCCTAAGCGCAGGGCGAGAAGGATGCCATGATACGAATGATTGAGCGGGGGCCGACCGTCCCGGCATTCCTATAGTCCTGCCACGAAATGTTCTGAGAACCCCAACATGTTCTCAGAGCAAAAACGATGTTCTTAGAACATGAACCCCATGTGTTAAAACAGGACGCTCTCCGCCAGAAATGTTCTAAAGAACATTTCGTGGAGACCACAACAGGTTATTTGAACAATGTTCACATAACTTTTTGAGCAATGCTCAAAAGGTTATTTGAACAGTGTTCAACATTGTTTGGTAGGGCTATAGGCGAGCCAGGGCGCTTTGCCACTGCTGGACATGAGAAGACCTGGAGCCGCCGGGGGGTCTGAGGGGGCCGAGCACGGGCTTTGGCCCGCAGGGAGGGCGGGCAGGCTCGAGGTTCTGGGCTCGAGGAGACTTCTCTCTCGCCTTTTTATCGGCCCTGGGGGGCCCTCCTCCTCCTCCTCCTCCTCCTCCTCCTCCTCGCTTTCGGGCCACAGGACCGTCAGAAACGGGTCCGGGGTGAAACCTGCACCCGGTGGAACTCCGGGTGGGGTCCAGGTGTGTTGGGGTCTCAGCCTCGGCGGCGAGCGAGGGGGGGAAGCGAGAAGGCGAAGGCCTTCTCAGAAGGCGGCGGCGCTTCTCAGAAGCCCTCCGACCTTCTGAAAAGGAGTCGGTGTCTTCGGGGGGGGCTTAGGACACTTCAGAAGGCCTGGGGACTCCCGAGCCTTCTGAGGAGGCCTTCTCCTTCTCACTTCCCCCCTCGCTCGCCGCAGACAACCAGTTCAGACACCCCTGGCCGCCTCTAAGAGAAGAGCAGGCGCGGAAGAAAGAGAATGTTCTCGACCAGTCTGAGGGTGATCCGTCAGGCGAAGCCGCCAGTCGAGACTGCCACTCCTACAACAACCCAACATTGCGATGGAAACTACCGCGTATATGACAAGAGACTGGCGCACAACTTGGCTGCAACGGTCTCGGAAAGGCAGGTAAGTGCGCGGTCAGTGCCTACACACCTCTCTGCTTCAAACGCGACGCGCAGTGGTATCGATCCAAAGTTTGGACTAGGCCTCACTTTTGCAAGTCTAGATCGCCCACCTGTTCAGAAGAGGATTGGAAGATCGGAAAACCTAGCAGGTCACACATACCTATGACCATCTGCGATTCGCTCGTCCACATCAGTTTCTCTCCCCGTCGCACCAAAGCAGGATGAGGAAATCATGAAAGAAACAACCCATGAGCCCCTTGAGCGCTTTCGAATATCACGGGCCCCAAAGCCGTCCCCGCATAGCACGAGTCATGCACCATACGCCTGGATAGAGTAGGACGGATGCTTGGGAGTAGACTCCCCGCTCCCGAATGTGACCTCCCGAATGAGAGCCGAACTGAACGAGAAGGCGTCCCTCCTCCTCTTCCTCCTCCTCCTCCTCCTCCTCCTCCTCCACCTCTTCCTCCTCCTCCTCCTCCTCCTCCTCCTCCTCCTCCTCCTCCTCCTCCTCCTCCTCCTCCTCCCCCTGACTCCCCTTTCTGACCCTCTTCCTAATCCCTCCTCCTCGCTCCTCCCTCCCCCTCCTCCTCGCCCTCCTGTCCCGCCGCCGACTGCTCCCACGACCACCCCACACATATACCGCGCGCCCGCGGGCCTCGCGCGGGAACCGACGCGGCCACGGCGGGCTCAGGCCTTGGGGCACGCGTCCACGACGGCCTCACCGAAGGTGAAGCTCGAGGAAGAAGGAGGGACCCCGGCCTCCTCCGCCGTCGTCCTCCTCCTCCTCCTCCTCCTCCTGCTCCTCCGTCTCTCCTCCTCCCTCCTCCTCGCCCCTCCCTCGCCATCACGAAGAGCTCCCTTCTGTGGCGCCAGCAAGCGTGGGCCCGACGCTTGGCTAGGGACCTCCTTGCACATGTTCTCCTGCCGTGCAACTGAAGAAGAGCCTCAACCGTTACAAGGGTTAGGGTTGGTCGATCTCACACTGCGGCCGCCGCCTTAGCGCCGCGCGCATCAAAGTTAGAAGCGGCCCACAAGTTCAAGGATGAGGCGGGCATGGTGTCCAGAATGCGGCTCTCGCCGTAGCGGGGAGCACACTAAAAGGATGGAGGAGGAGGCGGAGGAGGAGGAGGATGGAACCCAGTTCGCTTTCAATATTCCACTCCCGCGAGGTGTGAAACCGAAGTTCCGAAGTGTGCAACCGTTACACAGATGGAGGGCGGCTCCTTCTCAAAATGGGGCTGTCGCCATAACGCCGCGATCACTCTTCCTAGAAACAAGCAGTTGCTGCTTCGCGAGGCGAAGTCAGCCCCGTGCCTGCGGCACGTTGGGGCGCGGAAGAGTGCCAAGGGTTGCCTGGCAGAGTTTTTGTAATCTTCTAGAGGGCTCCCCACCCGCTCTAGTAGCACCCAGCCGACTGCGCCACTACTGTTCCCGGGGTGTTCCTGGGCGACCTTGGCGCCTCCCTGGGGCTCTCCAAGGCTTCCATGACGGCCCAGGAGGCCCCCAAGACGGTCCAAGAGGCCCCCGAGTCGCCGAACGATCGCTTGAAGACGCCCAAGATGGCCTCGAGATGGCCCAAAAGGCCTCCGAGACGCCTCAAGAAACCCCGTCCTGTAAGAGGCCTCCCAAGAGGGCCTCAAGAGGCAGCAATCATTGATGGTCCTTGGGCTTGTTTGCCAAATTTTGGCGTCGTTGCCTGTTCGGCAACCCGACGCTCCAACACGGCCCACAAAAGCTCCAAGACCACCCCAAAACGGCCCAAGAGGCCTTTAGCAGGTTCGAACTCCATCCAGCACTGATGATACGCATCTAAGATGCTGATCAGAGCTTTATCTGGTATCTCGATTCCACCAACCTATCGAATACAACGATCAATTCTATGAATTAAATGGTGCTCCTGGTTGTAGAACATAAGATCGCATTCGACTTATCCATTGTACTTTCCAGGTAGTGCAGTAGACGGCATAACGGTGTGCCCTGGCTTGTCCCTAGCCCTGCAAGCCCGGCATGTATCACATACGCCCCTTTTCTCATGTTCAGCCTGACGTGTCCAGACCAGCCTTAGTTTGGATGAGTATCATATTGAGCTCTTTTGCGTGGAACCACCGTACGCGCAGTTTCCGCAACTCGCGTGTTACCACATTTGGATCAAGGCTGCGTAGGTTATGTAAATTAATCTGTATATCGAACTGTAACCATTATGAAAGTCTTGGACGAGCAGCAGGGTCATCCGCAGGTGGTGGTGGAGGTGAATCCCGTGGTTGCTGTCGACCTCGTCTGGCGACTATTTGTGGTAGCCGTCTGTGATCGTCCGAGCTGCCAGCTCCACTCGAGGCAGGTCGCCCCGCAGCCGGCTCAGCAGCATGTCTATATACTGTGATGTCGTGGCTGCTGGCACTTGCTGTTGGTCCAGCTCTGGAGTCAAGCCCCGGAGCTCGTAGCCGCGCAGTTTGTTGGGCGGCTGGTGCCTCGGATGCTGCTGCCGCCGCAGGTGGTGGTGCTGCCGGTTCGGCAGGAGCCGCAAGCTCCTGTCCGTGCTTGTCAGGCAGCTTCCACGGTGTGGTAAATTTGAATACGCGGGGCGTAAGTAACTGACCAGACCAGGTTTAGCCTGACCGTAGTTCTTCTTGCAGCTTGGACACTCCCAGTGGTAATCCTCCTCATCGTACCACCTGCAGTGTTTAGGATTCCTGTCGTGTGAAGGGGAATGCATGTTGACGTTGCCCGCGCGTGCTGGACATCCCCATCCTCCCGAGGGTGGCCTCATGATCGATCTGTCGGTGTTCCGACGGATAGTTGATCCAAGTTGGATCCGCGTATGTTTGCGACGAGAACGGAAAATGAATGAGGACGATCATGAGAGGGATCACGATTCACTCGGAACATGTCATGTGCAAGTTGAACTACTTCGGCGAAGAGGGGCTTCGTCTTCGGAGTCTTTTTGGCTGCCCTGGCCAGCTCCTTGTTACAAGCCGAGGCCTGCTGATGATGGCCCGTGCACCGTTTCCTCTCGAAGGGCGTCGGCAGGAGACGGCGGTTGGCCCTTATTCCAATAGGTTTGCGTATTAATACCCCACGGGAGTCACGAAGGCCCGCAGCACATTGGTCCATGTTAGTTGTGCAAAGGCCCTCGCGCTTGGACAACGTAGTCCATGGTGGC